GTATAACATTGAAAAATCTTTAGCTTGGATAAAGTTTTTGCATTATTATTATATTTATTACTGCAGTCTTCAAAACATCTATGCAACTTGTGGCAATTGAGTGCTGTCATTTATGCTTTAACATGCTGCATCACATTAATCGTTGTATGCTGATTTCATTACAATAACATTTACAATAAACAATATTGTATTAAAGTTATTGTGTTTTATGAATATGTATATGCTAGTGTACTCCTAAAAGTTATATGTTTCCTAGATTACTCATCTTGCACCCAAGGTCATATAAAAATGTTTTGTCCAGTCAAATGCACTCTGGAATAAGAATGCCCCTCTTCCTCATACCACCTGCAACCTACTAGCACTAACAAGCAGCTAATTATAGTGTTGCGAAGTCCATGGTTTTCCTGTGGAATTGGGCTACTTTTATACTGCTGCCACGGGCTGTTTTTTCAGTCTGCTGGTTAAAGCGAAACCCCCCGCCACCTGGAACACATTGGTGAGACTCCTGGAAGGAGGTCTTGACACCTGGAATATGATTTTGAAGCGATAGATGATTTTGTTACTTCATTGGACAAGTAATCCACATGACTCAAGTACATCAATTAAAGTCTAGTGATGTGAAAAGCTCATTTGTGTTAATAAACATTTTTATCATCAAGACACTTTTAATTTCAAACCATTGGTTCTGACTGAAAAAGCTCTCTCCAGTGAAAAAGCTGTCTGGTTTAAATCAGGAGAGAAATATGCACAGATGTAGATAAATACTATGCACTGTTTACAAGCAAAAAGCACCCATAACAGTTTTAAACAAATATATCACTGGATTTTGATGTGAGAGGACAGCAGGGGGTGGACTATTTCACTGGAAGAAGCGTTATTATGGATTATGGACCAGAAGCGAGGGTTTAAAGTAAAAATGCCTTAATGATGGATTTATTTCTTACAGACACACAAGACATTAATTGATGGAATGTAGTCATGTGGATTACTTGTGGATTATTGTGATGTTTTTATCAGCTTTTTGGACTCTCATTCTGATGGCACCTATTCACTGCAGAGGATTCATTGTTGAGCAAGTGACGTAATGTTTAATTTCACCAAATCTGATGATGTAGACTTAACTTTTTATGCCTTTCACAACTTCATTCTTACCTCCTATTTATGAGAATTTTATGTTGTATTTTAAGTAAGTGTTTATGAAATATGTACACGCAATTCAAATATTGGAACATTTTATGTAATTTTAGTGACCACAGTATTTAGGAAATGCTCTTGTTTAGGTACATAAAACAATATTGTTATTTTTTTTTTAACTATATCATTTGAAACATTTATTTGATCAGTATTTTACTTCTTCTATTTTTGTCTTGTACTTATAGTAAAAAAAACTATTAGTAAAAATGTTAAAATAAAAAACAACTTTTGTTTTCTGCTATACACAGCAGATTTTACATTCCAAGTCCCTACATTTTTCTTAAACAGTGTAACACTACAGAAGGGTAAATTCTGTTGAAGCCAAGCAACCAGCTTCACCAGACAGAACACAATATGCTTGTTTGAGATGACAAACACCTTGTCTTGAATGTAGATGAGAGTAGGCGGCTGCAGCCAGAGAAAGAACCGGATAAGAGCTGTCAAGAGCTGACAATTCTCACTTCTCATAGAGGACAGGCAATCTACATGAACAAATACAAATTATTATTAAAATATCACATTCACATCATTTGTTGCTAATTAAGCGGATGCATCCAAAATTTATTGGAGTTGATATAGATAATAGAATAACATTACACAAGTGAGCCTGTCCCAATACCCACACTTGTGGTCTTGGCCACTTGAGATGCACATGACAGGAAATAAGTGTGCAAGACTGTCCCAGGTCTGAAAAATGTCAAAGCTCAGTGTACTAAATCCACACTCTAATCCACATCTCTAATGATATTGCTCAGAGTGTTGTTTGAGGCTAAGCCTATGTAAGTGAAATTAATTAAAGATTACATATAATTTGGTGGTAAAACATAAAGTGTTGCAAATTTGCATACAATGTGTATGTGCAGAGATGAGTACTGTATGTATATTTTGTAAAACATTTGCAATTGCTTTCTATCTCTTAATTAGAAGCACCTCAGTAAATTTTGTCTCCTGTTACATAGAAACGTCTGAATAGACATTGAGAAGTTTATTCTAAAAATGCAAAGTACTGAAAATCAAAATGTATAAATAAAGGTCTGTGAAAATGTTATTTGCATTTTTACAAATCTATGATGTAGTGTGTTCCATCATATAATCAAAAGTTCCACACACTTGCAGTCTTCTTGCTCACTTGAACACTTGGGCCAAAGACAGGAAGTACTTCATGTAAGTAGACAAGTGGTCAATTGCAAAAAGCGCAAGTGTGGGCGCTGAGACAGGCCCATTCTCAAAGAGATTGCTAATAGCAGGGACGTGCACAGACATTTTGAGGGGCAGGTGCTCAAGTGGGAAAAGGGCACTTCTCATATTTATTTAAATTTTTTTCTAAATAAAACATTAAATATATTAGGGGTGTGCGATATTGACAAAAAATATATATCTCAATATTTTCTGTGATCTTATCGATAACGATAATTAGACGATATTTTGCTGAGTGTGTTATTGTGCTTACTGTTGACAGCTGACTCTTAAAGTTTTTGATATTCTGCATATTCTGTGGTGATCAGTTCACAGCAGTGATGGAAATTAATCGTTTCCAATAAGTTTAAATTGATTTTTTACCTTTTATGGGCATTTCTACCTTTATAAGGCCCTTTTTTTTAAAAGTGTGCATCATCTTTTCAGTCGAATTCTTAAATTGAATCAGTCATTTAGAATAATAAGTCATTTGGGCTTTTACCAAGCAAATTAAATCAGTATTGACAAAATTAATCTTTGCAATGCAGAGAAAACACAGAAGCTGCATTAGAAGTGGCATTTAGATGCATTTACACACTGTATAATGCAGGACATGAGTGTATTTAACCTGCAGTTACAAATGCATTAATACTGTTTTGATATTTTAAACATAAAACGTTGAATACTGATATTTGAAATTATACAAAAAAAAAACTTTAACTGTGAAACTAAAACTGCCAGTAGGTGGCAGCAAGTCACTGTTAATAAGTGAGTCATTGCGACTGAACCGAATCATTTAAACGGTTGATTCTTTCAGGAACAAATCAGCGTCATGTTGCTCAGAGACGCAAATTGGAATTATATTTGTTGGTGAAATAGAGCAAAAGCAGTGAATATTGTGTCTAAAACGTAAGTGTCTTAATATTAAATTCTTGTTTATTGAACTGCTGAATAAAATCAATATCACATTTGTAATCATGCTGCTTTTTGGTGGAAA